ACACAGCAAGAAAGCACACATAGAGAGTGCCAAGTACGAAGACTCAAAAGCTTTCCCCGCTGCGATGCCATCAGGGACAGAGATGATCTTTGCAAAAGTTGTGAAGGTCGCATAGTGTTTGCTACATTTATGTGGCTTATTTTATTGTGTTGGTGCAGATTTGGAATCACACCAAGCCAAGAACAGTTTCAGCATGAACTTTCAAGACACAGTAATCATCCAGGTTGTTTTGTCCTACCCAGTGCCAGTACAGACACAGCATGACCTCTCAACTAGGGATAAGGAATGGGGTATCATGCTTGCTCCTCCAGAAGAGCACCAAGCATCTGAGTGAGCAGCTGGTTGAGGCCCTGTCACTCAGCAGGGTCCATCTGCCCTGGGTTCTTGCTTTAAAAAAATAAAATCAGGACTGACTCCACATTGGGGAAGTGCAGGTTGAATGTTGCTGACATTCAACCACCCAATTCTGTGTAGATCACTTGGAAAGCTGGCATTGCTGCCAGGGAATCTGTCAAGACCCACTGATAGGGGAGGGAGCCCAATCCTCCTTTGCTTCAATTTCCCTACCCTTCTGCTTCTGGATTTAACCAAAGTTAAGAGTTAGGTCTGCTTTAACTTTAATTATGGTCAATATTAATCTGGTTCTCTTTTTGTTTGCTAGTCAGTTGTGGCTTCAAATAATGGCCCATCAATAGCCACAGTTAAGGGATAGGCCATGTTGCACTTTATTGTTTCCTAGATGGACTCTGCCAATGAACAATTAAAGGGACATGTCTGACCCCTCTTCAGAACTATGGTTGACTGATTTGAGCCAGATGTCATTGTTGCTTATTTCTAGTAACATATATATGTAGATTTTCAAACGTTTGTGAGCTACAGGGGTCCAATACCTATCACCACTTTGTTGTTGTTTAGTCGTTTAGTCGTGTCCGACTCTTCATGACCCCATGGACCAGAGCACGCCAGGCACTCCTGTCTTCCACTGCCTCCCGTAGTTTGGTCAAACTCATGTTCGTAGCTTTGAGAACACTGTCCAACCATCTCATCCTATGTCGTCCCCTTCTCCTTGTGCCCCCAATCTTTCCCAATATCAGGGTCTTTTCCAGGGAATCTTCTCTTCTCATGAGGTGGCCAAAGTATTGGAGCCTCAGCTTCAGAATCTGTCCTTTGAGTGAGCACTCATCTTAAGGTTTAACACTTCTGTTATAGCATTTAAAAAAATAAATAAATGCTGAATGTAGCCAAGAATCCAGGGCTGTAAAACCAATTGTGAATATTCAAGTCTATACAGAAATCACTACTATCACCATATGGAAGGGAATTACTAAAACCATCAGCTGATTCTTCTTATCTACTCTGTTCCTAGCATTTTTGCTCTATTTCTATCTATTGAACAAGAGGAAACTGTAAACAACTCTTCCAGTGGGATTCACCTAACAAGGCCTGTCTGTGGAATTCTTGTGCAAGGACTACTACTTGTGCAATGGGGTTGTCCCCCTTCCACTCCCCCCATCCTTGAAATTAGCTGGAGAACTCTCTAAACAGTGCACATGGGGAGGAGATGGGGCATCAACACTTGCGCAGATGGAAAGATTGGAAGAGTGCAGCATTCAATTACACCCCTTGTCAGAATTGCAAAACAATGTGCAACGTAGCAATGGTAGAATGGATTAAAAAGATCAGAGTGGCAAGGAACCACAGTCAAATGTTTGTTCTCATCAAGCCTCTCCACCAGCAATTATCAACCTACAGAGTGACCTCCACATGGCAGGTAAAATGTTCTTTCTAGCTCCAGTGCTATGATCCAAGAAGACTGGTAATGGCATGGCACCCAATACTACATATTTAATCAACTATCAGAAGTTATATTGCACCTCTGTAAGGCAGTGCAAACTAGGCAGGAATTAAGTGTCACCTACCCAAGCCAGAAAGGCCTGGTGACAGACTCAGAATGACAAGTGTATGTAAGTGCTTTTGCCCAGTCCTCAACACACCGGTTGAAAGAAACTGACCTATATAAAGGGTTTTGTCCCAGTCTAGTAAGAAACAATCAGTATGCAGAAACAAATCCCCTCCATCGTGTCCACTCAGAGAGAGAACATCCCTCTCACAGTTACCTTTCTACAACATCCTCTCCGTTCCAGCAAGTCGAACTGTCTTTCATCACAAGATCACCATCACAGAGTCTTTCAGTTAAAGAGGCATAGAGTGTTCTGGATCGTTTCATGTAGTTGATGAATTCCCTAGAAATGAAAAACATAACGTTTGCAATGCAACACCCAGGAGCACATTTAACATTCTAGGCAACATTGTAATCTTAATCCGATGTTCATTCTTAAACTTCTGCCCAGCTCTGTCTAACTATTCTACTGAGTTAGCAATACATGAGCAAATGCATGTACTGAAATCCCAAAGGGTCATTGTTGTATGAATAGCATCTTGGTATGTGTGTGAAAGAGAGAAGTGGCAAAGCAGAGGAGATGGTGATGCCTTCCCTTCCCTTCCACTTTCCTCATTGAAAAGTTCCTGCTTCAAGTCAATTTCCTCAGTCACCAAGTTCCAAACCAAACCTTCCCCATTTTCAAGTGTGTCCTGGAGAACAAAGCAAAGACCCAGGTGGTGCTTACAGCAAGGTTTTTGCCTTTGGAATGGATAATATTTCTGCTGAAGAGCCATCCAATGAAATTCTAAGAGCAGAGTCTAGTCTAGATTTGTATAAGATACCACCTATCAAAAAACCAGGCATCCTAGTACTTCCTTCATTTAAATTATGGTGTCCCAAACTTGGATCTCCAGCTGTTTGGGGATTACATCTCCCATCATCCCTAGCTAGCAGAACCAGTGGTCAAGGATGATGGGAATTGTAGTCCAAAAGTGGTTGGAGACCCAAGTTTGAGAAACTCTGGTTTTAATTCTAACACCAAGGAGAGAAACAACTGAATAACGGTTGCTGGAAACTTCAGGAGGAAAGAGTCCTCTTGGCCACTGTGAGAACAGGATGCTGGACTAATTGGGCCATTGACCTGGTGTCACGGAGCCAGCAGGGAAGGCTCCGGAGTTGGAGGAGGGGAAGAGTGCGGGGCCGGTAGAAGAGGCAGGATTGAGAGAGGGTGGAGTGGAAGGGGAGGCCACTCAGACGGAGGCAAGTCTCCCTGATGTTAGAGAACAGCAACACCCCTCTACCAGCTCAGGCAAAGAGGGAGAGGGAACACCCGTTCAGTCAGCCCAGGACAGGAGGGGGTTAAAACACAGAGAACAACATAGACATTTGGGATCGTCCAAGCTGCTTTGCTGGAGGAGGAGCAGGAAGTTCCCACTCCTGGGATCTGCTATGGACCATTCGGACGCTTGAAGTGATGCTCTGTACCTTGTAAATAGTGTACAATAAAAACTGTAAATACAACTCTGATTGAGCAGGTGGATTTATTGCAAAGGGCTTATCAAACCTATCGCACCTGGTCTAGCAGTTTTTTTTAATATTCTTATGTAACTGACTATTTCCAGAACACAAAAGTTCTAGGTATTTTCCAGACGCCTAGCCCTTACCATGAAGACAATCGCATTCTTAGCAAACAGAGGAGGATCCAGTCTCTGTGTGCATCAATCTCACCATAGCTGCAAGAGGATTTCCATACCACTGACCTCATCCTGAGCCACTCTCCCTCCCTACAGGTCCAGGTGCAAGAACTACTGGACACGTAGGAGGAGGAGTTGGATCATGCACACAAGTGCAATTCTTGCATTTTCTCCAGATACAGATAAAAGGCCAATTCTAGCTTAGGAGTGGCAGGCAAAAGTGAGACTTTAGTAGTGAAAAGTCTGCATGTTAGGATAGGAATGTACAAACTCCCTTTAAATACTGAACACAAAATTGAAATGCATGCTTTGTTTTGGAGAGTGAGATATAAATTTTCAGTATAGAAACAAAAAGGCTTGACTGAAAAATATGATTGAAACTTCAGAAGCTAAGAAGTATTGAAATTTCATTGTCTATGTTACCCATTGTCTATAAAATAGAGCAAGGAGAACATTTTCTGGTATGTCTTTAAACAGTAGACACCTTATTTTAAAATGATACCTGAGCCAAAAGTTTCAGTATTTCCCCCCCTCTTAATAACATGGTTCTTCAATCCAGATGGTTGCATTTGAGTTAAGAAATTAATATTAGAGGCATTTTATGGTAATGCTGAACAAAACCTTGTACTCTTAAAACGAAAGCAAGAGCCTTGAGGTTTGGACAGCTCATTTAAAATGAAGAGACAAAAACATGTCAGCTTCTTTTCATTCTTACCGGGCCATTTTTTTCAAACTTCTGGATTTGTCATTCTTTGAAGCTTTCAGAGGCAGAGAACTGGAGTGGGCCAGGGAGAATAGTCAGAAGGCGGGGAGGAGGAGTGGGGAAGCAGGAATTCAGGCAAAGAAAGAAAAAGAAATGAGAAACAAAAAGTAATAAATTATTTGAAAGAAAAGATAATCAAGAACATGCACAGGATTAAACCAGAGAAGCACAAATGCAAATAAAAAAATATGCTCCAGCAAATAAAATATGCTTCAACCTATATATTAAAATATAATAATAAAGGCACAGTCCACCCACAGTTTAGTTCTGGGTAGATTGTGCTCTGTGCTTGAAGATTTGAACTTTACTCTAAAACATGTTAAAATAAATTTATCCTTTTTTTTTAATGGATACCATTACAAAATGAAGGTTCAAAACGCTGAAAATAAATCTCCTGAATTTATCTCCAAATGTCACATTAAGAAAAGTTATTGCATACATGTGAGAACAGAGCAGGACAAATGATTTGTAGATGAGAAGAAGCACATGTGAAAGTGCTTGATATGGAAAAGCGTTCCTTCTCAGGGGAACAAAACACTTATTTCCACAGGGAAAAGAAACAAAGAAAAGATCATTGCTCCTTCAGGGATATTGGAAGGGTAGGGTTAAGTGAGTAAATAAATCCAAATCTGCTTGTTTTAGTTTATATCCTTTGCGAAGTGATGTAGCTCAGTGGAAGAGAACCTGCTTTGTATGCAAAAGGTCCCAGGTTCATTCCCAGGTGTATCCAGGTGAATTTTGGGAGAAAATATCTCTGTCTGAAACCTTGGAGAACCCCTACCCATCTCTGTAAACAATACTGAGGCAGATGGACCAATGTTTGTATATATTCCTTATATTCCTATGAAATCCCTATAAAGGAGTTTGGATTTGATATCCCTCTTTATCACTACCTTAAGGAGTCTCAAAGTGGCTAACATTCTCCTTTCCCTTCCTCCCTCACAACAAACACTCTGTGAGGTGAGTGGGGCTGAGAGACTTCAGAGAAGTGTGACTAGCCCAAGGTCACCCAGCAGCTGCATGTGGAGGAGCGGAGATGCGAACCCAGTTCACCAGATTACGAGTCTACCGCTCTTAACCACTACCCCACACTGGCTCTTAAGGGCTTTATTTGAGTTACAAGAACCTTCCTGAAACTTTAGATCACTGACATATTTTAACTCAGAAGGTCCTATGGGAAATCTTATGAAATGTGGGTGTTTGTAATGGTCTAGTGTATGTCCTTATATTGTTTAATATACAGTAAATATACAGTAAAATACAGTAAAATCTTGACATCATATTACCTCAGCGGTTTCCTTCTCCAATTAAAGTGCCAACCACTCTGCTTTTAAAAAGAGTGCATTTACAGACTGTGTTTAGTAGCAGAATTTATTAATGTGGATCCCAGATAGGATAGCCAATACCATCTATATGTAGGCTCCTTGTATGAGTGACTGCTCCTGCGATCCTAAAATGTTTCAGTACTGCTCATTTTGAGACTTCCAAGTTAAAAGAAAATTGTATTTCCAGGGTCCGTTCATTTCTGAGTTGTGTTTGGTAAAGAAAAACAAAAGAATACCACTAACATCTGCTGAATAGGCATAGCATCACATGTACATGCAGAGATAAGAAGAACTGAAATACCATGCAGTTTTTATGCAAGCTTTAGTCATGCCAGCGTCATCCGCAGAGAAACAAGTTTCACAAAGTTCAAAAGATATGGGAAGAGGAAAATAAATTTAGATGGCGATAAAACAGAACCCCATTACTTTGAGAAAACATCAGCTACAGGAAACAGAGTGGGGGGTGGGGAAATGGGGAGGAAGGAAGAAATCCTTACCAATCTGGAACAGATTACATCACAATCTTGGTAGAAAAAGAAGGCTGTTCTAATATTTTATTCTATAGCTGTATGCTGGTCACCAGTTAGTCATTAGGACTGCCTACAATGTCGGCTGACTTCAGCCCCAACTGGAATCTGTAGCTGCTCAACTACTTTATGTTACTCTAGATCTTGAATTTTCAAATGAGCATTCACAAGAGTTCCTTGCATCAAAAGGGAACTACTTACAGGAACTTTGCAATAAGGGACACCATGTTGCTTGTTAAGGTATCTGAAGTTGGTTGAAGTATATTAGTCTAATAAGCTACAAATTAACACCTGAATTTCTGCACGAACTCATTATCATTTTAGATGGGTCTGATTCAGAGTTAGAATGAAGTAAGGCTGCTCACATGGGCTTTAACTGGTATACTGGTAATTGATATATTATTACCTCCAAACAGCTGAAGAACAATTTATTGTCCATTCAGGTATTCTTTTATCTGCTTGAATGCTAGAGACAAATAAGGCGTTTTGGTGCAGATTATATTGCTCTGCTCAGAAAATTCATATGACTACTTCTGGATTCTCTTATGGGTTAAATTAACCTGTCATGGAATAACAAAAAAACATAATAGGGGACCAGAGAATCTGCCTTATGTCTCAATTAATCAACTCTTTCCATTAGTGAACAAGAGAGCAGAACTCAGCTCTAGGAATCGTTGGATCCATCCCAACAATGCCATATGGGTAAATGCTTCTTACTCACCAGCTATGATGTTAAAATTTGGCCATATACCGCTGCAGGGCAAAGCACAACCTGCTCTTTCTCTTCAGTTAGGTTGTAACAGTAAGCAAGTACTCAAGGTAAAGGTAAAGGTAAAGGGACCCCTGACCGTTAAGTCCAATCGTGGACAACTCTGGGGTTACAGCGCTCATCTCCCTTTACTGGCTGAGGGAGCTGGTGTTTGTCCGCGGACATCTTCCAGGTCATGTGCCAAGCATGACTAAGTCACTTCTGGCGAACCAGAGCAGTGCACGGAAATGCCGTTTACCTTCCCGCCAGAGCGGTACCTATTTATCTACTTGCACTTTGACGTGCTTTCGAACTGCTAGGTTGGCAGGAGCAAGGACCGAGCAACGGGAGCTCACCCCATTGCAGGGATTCGAACCGCCGACCTTCTGATTGGCAAGCCCTAGGGTCTGTGGTTTAGACCACAGCGCCACCCGCTTGCAAAGTACATAATATTTACTAATACCAGGATTGTAGAACCTATAGCTCTCCAGAAGTTGTTGGCCTCCAATTTCCATCAGTCACAGTCAGTATGGTCCATGGTTAGGGATGATGGGAGTTGTAGCCCTCCATATGTTTTGAGCTGTAAGTTCCCCATGTGTAACTTGAAGCATTTAATCTAGATTTCTAAATAGGACCAGTTTCATATAAACATGCTTAGTGAATATGTAATTGAAGTGAGTATTGGAAAGCACAATTCTGGCTTCAGAAGTGTTGGATTTTTTTTTTTCATTTTTTAAAAAATGGTGCATTTTGGGGAAACTCCAGTTTCAAATTTATGAGGAAAAATTGTTGCATCAGGGTTACCTCCTTTTACTGCTTAGAGTATTTGAGTGTGTCATTGTCAGAGCCTGTGTCTCAGTTACTTCCTTTGCTTGAACTATGTTGTCTGGTAAAGGTCTCACTTCTTTTTCTTCAGGCTGTCCACACACTTTATCTACCTGCAATAAAACGGAGGGAGAGAAAATGATTACATGGTAAGAACTAGCAGGCGTGCTTAACATCAAAGCTCCAACGGTGGAGAATCTACATGAGAAGGACCACGGAATGGAGATGGAGTATCAGGCTAGCCATGCATTTGTTCAGTTGTGTATTTATATGCATTATCTCTATGTGTCGTCCATATGAGAACACGCATCCACCAGTGGTTTGTCTGCAACAAAAAACCAAGCACTTGCATGGGGCATGTGCAATGTAGGAATTGCAAGAGGCAACGCATGCATTTCCATCAGATTGCACAACACATGTATCAGAGAAGGGTTTATGTGAGTTGTAGGACCAGCTCCTGCATGTAGCCATGGTGTGAAATGACCCTAAAGCAGGCATAGGCAAACTTGCCCTCCAGATGTTTTGAGACTACAATTCCCATCATCCCAGGCCACTGGTCCTGTTAGCTAGGGATGATGGGAGCTGTAGTCCCAAAACATCTGGAGGGCCAAGTTTGCCTATGCCTGCTCTAAAGGGCTAAATGCAGATAGTACAGCTGTGACGAAATTATTCCAATTCACTGTAAAGGAGCATGCTTATATTTCCAGAATACTTCTGAAACTTAATAAGCTATTAAAATTTAGTATCAAAATAGAAAGTTGAAGTAGAGCAATATTATAACAAACCATGTAATAATAATAATAATAATAATAATAATAATAATAATTTATTTATACCCCACCCATCTGGCTGGGTTTCCCCAGCCACTCTGGGCAGCTTCCAGCAAAACATTAAAATACAATAATTCATCAAATATTAAAAGTTTCCCTAAACAGGGCTGCCTTCAAGTGTCTTCTAAAAGTCAGATAGTTGCTTATTTCCTTGACATCTGATGGGAGGGCGTTCCACAGGGCAGGCACCACTACCAAGAAGGCACTCTGCCTGGTTCCCTGTAACCTCACTTCTCGCAATGAGGGAACCACTAGAAGGCCCTCGCAGCTGGACCTCAGTGTCTGGGCAGAATGATGGGGGTGGAGACGCTCCTTCAGGTATACAGGACCGAGGCCGTTTAGGGCTTTAAAGATCAGCGCCAACACTTTGAATTGTGCTCGGAAACGTACTGGGAGCCAATGTAGGTCTTTCAAGACCGGTGTTATGTGGTCTTGGCTGCCGCTCCCAGTCACCAGTCTAGCTGCCGCATTCTGGATTAGTTGTAGTTTCCGGGTCACCTTCAAAGGTAGCCCCACGTTGATCGTTATGTGCTGGCTTGCAAGAGCAATCTTTTCATATCTATCACCTAGGGTTTTGAGATATCAGCCATGTGGGCTGGGGGAGGTCCTCTTTTTTTAAAAGTGGTTTTGATGTTGCAGTTGCACACCTTTAGAAGCCCTGCCAGTTGTGCTAAGAATGAAAATGGATAAACATCATCATATATACCATGTATCAAAAATCAGGAATTTCAGGAGACCCAAGGTTTGAATAAGTACTGAAAAAACTGCTTGGAGAGAAATGGAAAATTGTGTGGGAGGCAAAACAAAAGTATTCAATGCCTGCAATGATTATATCTATCTGAAAGGATGGAAGGCACCTGCAATTCAGTTAAAATTAAAAACAAAACAAAACAAAAAAGCAATAAACCATGCAGCAATTCTAAAACTAAAGGCCAATGACAACCCCAATGAATACATTGCACAACATGAACTGACTGGAAATGATCAGTAACACAAATGATTACAATTAAAGCTTAGCCAAGCTCTATTGCTACATACTAATTTGTTTACTTCTGCTTTTTTAGTTGAATTGCATGTGATTCCTTGAAACACACATGACTAGTCCATAAATTATTTATTATAAACACTTCAGTGTGCTGTTTTCTTATTAGTATAACTTTCACAATAATAATGGTAATGTTATAAGGAGGTATGAAGCAGAAAGATTCCACTGTCCAAAAAGAAATACTCAATAATTTCTTAGAGATTATGGTGATGGACAACTCTCACCATCCCTGGCAACTGGCCAGGACTGATCTGGAAGGCCATAGGTTCCCTATTCCTCTGCCTTATCTTCTAAATAACATATAATTAAGAGTTGCAGAAACATTAGCTGAAACAAACAGAATGAGAGTTTCAGCTGGCCGACCTTGCAGCTGTACATTTTGCAGCGTGTTACTGAAATGATATACTACTGACCCGTTTTTTGTGTAATA